AGTGGTGGATGTGGGTGCAATTAGAATGTTTAAAAGACATTTGGATAAGTACAAGAATAGGAAAGATTTGGAGGGATATGGGCTAGAAGCAGGCAAGTGGGACTAGTTTAGTTTGGGATTATGTTTGGCATGAACTGGTTGGACCGAAGGGTCTGTTTCCATGCTGTATGACTCCATGACTCTAAGAGCAGAAATGTACTGCTGAGGCTGTACAAGGTTCCAGTCAGAAGTCATTTGGATTATTGGGTCCTGTATCTAAGGAAGGATGTGCTAGCCTTGGAGGGGGTCCAAAGGAGGTTCACAAGAACAATTCGGCAGATAAAGGACTTGTCAAATGAGGAGCAGTTGAGGACTCGGAGTCTGTACTTGAAGTTTAGATGGGTGGGGGAGGGGGATGCGAGTTCTCATTGAAACTTACAGAATTCTAAAAAGCCTGGATAGACTGGATGTGGAGAAGATATTTCCATTAGCAGGAGAGACGAGGACCTGAGGGAATAGCCTTAGAGTGAAGGGACAACCTTTTAGAACTGAGATTTCTTCAGCCAAAAGGTGGCTGAGGGGCTATGGAAGCTACGTCATTGACTGCATCTGAGAGAGATAGACGTTATTTACTGATAAGGGGATCAAGAGTATGGGAAGAAGGCAGGAGAATGGGTTGAGAAACATATCAGCCATGAATGGTGGAGCACACTCAATGGGCTGAATGGCCGAGTTCTGCTCCTATGTCTTATGATCTTGTGCATAAATTTATGTAGCTTCTAGCAAGCATAAGGAAGCTGGATTGCAAGCCTCTCAAAGTTAATTACTTTGATGGCTAACGTTTAATATTTAAAGTTTAATGACTTTAATTCTGTCTGTTTTAAACATAAATCTTGCATCTTCAACACTCCATTGCCAACCCAAGGAAAAGGGCAGACTCAGGGTTAAGTCTTTGTAGCTGGTGCAGGAGGGAATTTCACAGAAGGCTGGCAGAAATTTCAAACGTATGACCTGATTTTCATCCACAGTTATGGGTGGAATTTATTATTATGGTAACATTCCCATTATTTACTGAACCACTCACATATTTATGTACATGACCTGTGTGACCTGTCCTCACAGAAGTTGTTGGTCTGATCTTCTTGTATAACCCTGGTCTTTCCTCCTTTGGGACAGAAAGTACAGCTAAGTATCAGAATTCAATGCTGGGATTGTTGAGGAGGGAATGTGGGTGGGGTAGAAGTCACCTTCAACCCAATACTCCACATGCACTGTCACAAATCTAACGTGTGACCAGTTGGACAGTTGGAGGTTGAAGGCTTTCCTTTCAAAATCACTATTAATGCTAAGCTGTCTCGTGGCCCAACCTGTGCTTATTTAACCCAAATAATAGGATGTGGAAATATCCTTTACTTAATTATTAATTTATCTTATTAGAGGAAAATTTTAGATATTTGTCTAACCTCCTTGACTCTTTGCTTTCTTCTCCGTAGTTAATAGATCTGACAACTATCATCAAACTATAATTATTGTTGTTCTTGGTCTGAAAGGCCATCTGCTATGTAGAAGTAACAAGACAGTAAGCTAAAACTAACTTTTTTTGTACAGGTATACAAATTATTGTAATTAAAACACTAAATCAGCAGAATGGATTGGAAAGCCTACAGAAAGAAATTAAGCTTTACTTATTTTTCATGGTGTCTTCTGAAAGTACAACCCAGTTGATGAGAACCACACATGCTTTGTCCAAAAGACATCACTATGCAGGCGTACGACAGTGCAAGGACAAAAATTCTTCACAACACTGATTTTGGAAAGGAAGCATGCAGATACTGTGTTTACATTTCACTGAGCCTTCAGGAACTTTTAACTATTGGAAGTTAGGAAAGAGTAGTCAGAATACTACTCCTAGCTCACCAAGGGCATACAAACAGATACAGATTTCAATCCTAGCCCAAGAAATAGGTTTTGCCAACTGAAATATTATTTAATATTAATCTTTCAAGGAAACATTAGTTGTTGATAAAATTGCCACATTCTGTAAGAGATAACAAGGTGTAGAGCTGGATGAACACAGCAGGCCAAGCAGCATCATAGGAGCAGGAA